ATTTAACCGCCGTTATTAAAATACAATAACGAGCAAAGACGGGTGGAAAAATGAAAGGGGATCGAATAAAAATGATCGTGAATTTGTCTTCTCGACGAAAATCAAAACTTACTGCCATCGGGTAATGTGATTATAATTACAATGGCTGATAAGGTCGGATGGGACGCCTACAAAAATCAAAAATCGTATACGAGTTGATGATGCCTATGGGGTATTAAGGTACAAATTGACAAAGAACTGACTTAATGTCTTAGAGGATAGCTTGATCGATGTCTGATGGGTGTTTTTCGTTTTTTAATTCTCTTTTCTTACATCCTCAATTGCCGTTGTTTAAAAACGTGTGAATGCGATTTGTCGATTTTTACGCTAATTGCCTCTTTGTTTCTTTTAGTACCAGTAAATGACAACGATTGGGGATCGACTTGAACAATGAATTAGATTTGAATTAGATTAGGAGAAAATGTGAACTTAGGTACCCAAATCTTCCAAATTCCTGAAGTTCCCGAAGGTTGCCAATTTTCTCAAATTCCCCTAAAAGTCAGTTATTTTTAAAATTACAACGAAAAACCACATGCTTTGTTTGATTTTGTTCACAGGTGCACATGTCCCCTATAAATTCAGAAGCTGAAGAGTTGGAACGATTATGGATATCTATCACTATTGATACTTACCTACATCTTCCTAAGCAACTCCTATTATAACAATAGATTCTTCTACACCTCAATCAATCTATAATAGCGAGCAGCCAAATGTCAAATCAAAGCAATAACATATAAAAGAGAAAAATTCATTCCATCCATTCAATGGGAGAATTTAAAGCCAATTCAAACAAGCGATTTTTCCTGAAAAAAAGGACAAGCATCGAAATCCTCTTAATTTAAAAAATACACAAACACATTGTGTTCGGAATTGAAATGCTAAAAGTGTTACATCGAAGGGTGGCGTTCAATCAAATTTAGGGAGTATTGGCTGTCTACCCCGCGCAACAGGTCGCCGTACATTCTGTCGGTGAAAAATCGCTTTTCAATAGGTTGAAAACGAATTGCTTCTGGGGGCAATTCGACGTTTACACAATTTTTTAGTGTTGTCGCAACTTTAATGGAGTCGCGATTTCTTGAAGTTTGCACAATGGATTTTTTGCAATTGGATTTATATTTTAATTCTAGTTCGATTGCAGTCTCCATGCTATTTTGCAGAAGCCTACCATGATTAGATATAGGGATTCGTCGATTTCGTACTAAAACGGTTATATCTCCCCTGAAAGAGAGGAAAAACCTTACTCCACTAATATATGAAGATCTTGTGATAATTGTAAGGAATGCAGCACTGACCAGACCCCTCAGTTCAACACTCTTCACCAAAAAGGTATAATGTTGTTTGCCCTTATATTATACAGGGTGCCCATGAAATATAGTATCTATCTCGGTAATACTGATGTATACAACTTTTTTCTATATGGAAGTTGTTTATTTCCCATAATAAGGCAGTATTCAGATGCTTTGATTTCAGAAAACAAATGAGTAACTAAAAACAATTGATTTTTTTTAAATAGCAATGCACCCTTGATAGAGTTTTTTTTCGATGATGTACTCTTATATAAAAAAAAATTTCAAAATCATCAATAAATTAATCTAGATATCCTACATCAAAATAAAACAAATGAATGTGTACGTTTGTATTTAACCTTAAAGACAACACGAAATTAGCAATAATTGCCGCAACAAATTCTCCCAGAATACTACTCAGACATTAATTTCAAGCTTTCCGTGATAGGTTAGTTGACTGGCTTGCAGTTAATAATAAAAAATTTTTGAACACTTATTGCGATGAAAACCATTTTATTGCTAATTTCATTTGTCTTCAAGGTTTAATAAGAAACGTCACATTCATTTGTTTTATTTTGATGTAGGATATCTAGATTAATATAATTATATTTTTTGAAAAATTGTATTGTATAAGGGTACTGACACCATCAAAAATAGAAAAAAAGTCCCTATAAAATGAACCTAATGAATAAGTATACTGCAATTTAAAAAAATTCAATAAAACAACTGAATGCTGCCTTATTATGGGAAATAAAATGTTAGACAGCTTTCATATAAAAAAATTTTGTATACATATATACTATGTTCCATTCATAATGGGCACCCTGTATATATTTTCATAAATGATCATGAAATCTTCATTTCCTCACGAATATCCCATACTGTGCAGACCCCTGGTCTATGTTCTAGAATTGAGTGTTAGCGTATATGTTCCTTACACCAAAATTGTGGTACATAGATCAGGGGCCTACGGGGTATATGAGATATTCATGAGGAAATGAAGAGTTCATGGTTCTTTATGAAAATATAGCACAAACCACCCGGTACAAGATTCCCCCACAGAAACATTCAGTTTTTAAGAACTCTCTTATATTGTCTTGGAAAACTACGGTAGTACCGGGGGGTCTGGGGGGTATGGAATACCCCCCCCCCCAGGTACACGAAGACCTTATGTTAATGAAACAGAACATTCAGTTTATTTTATCGGTATAGAGTACCACCCAGGAAAAGGGAAATTTAAAATGATTTTTCATTAACGTAAGATCTTCGTGTGCCTGGGGGGTATTCCATACCCACCACACCCCCCGGTACAAGATTCCCCCACAGAAACATTCAGTTTTTAAAAACTCTCTTATATTGCCTTGGAAAACTACGGTAGTACCGGGGGATCAGGGGGGTACCCAAACTCCCCGGTACAAAATTTACCCACAGTAACATTCGTTTTTAAGAGCTCTCTCGTATTGTCTTGGAAAACTACGATAGTACCGGGAGTCTGGGGGGTATAACCCCCCTGGTACACGAAGGCCTTATGTTAATGAAACAGAACATTCAGTTTATTTTATCGGTATAGAGTACCACCCAGCAAATGGGAAATTTAAAATGATTTTTCATTAACGTAAGGTCTTAGTGTTCCTACACCCCCCGGTACAAGATTCCCCCACAGAAACACAGAAACATTCAGTTTTTAAGCACTCTCCTGTCTCAAGTCTCAAGTTAAAATTAGGCTTTCACTTTAAAATTAAGCCCGCTAGAAACATATTTTTCTAAGCTCGAGGCTTGAATCATGACGATCAGCACTAATTAATTACATCTCGCTTAATAAGAAAAAGCTAGCTACAAAATTAATCAGTTAATTAACACGTTAGTAGTCTCAAGGTCTAATTAGGCCTTCAGTTTGAAAATTAAGCCCGCTAGAAACATATTTTTCTAAGCTCGAGGCTTGAATCATAACGATCAGCACTAATTAATTACATCTCGCTTAATAAGAAAAAGCTAGGTACAAAATTAATCTGTTAATTAACACGTTAGTAGTCTCAAGGTCTAATTAGGCTTCCACTTTCAAAATTAAGCCTGCTAGAAACATATTTTTCTAAGCTCGAAGCTTGAATCATGACGATCAGCACTAATTAATTACATCTCGCTTAATAAGAAAAAGCTAGCTACAAAATTAATCAGTTAATTAACACGTTAGTAGTCTCAAGGTCTAATTTGGCCTTCAGTTTGAAAATTAAGCCCGCTAGAAACATATTTTTCTAAGCTCGAGGCTTGAATCATGACGATCAGCACTAATTAATTACATCTCGCTTAATAAGAAAAAGCTAACTACAAAATTAATCAGTTAATTAACACGTTAGTAGTCTCAAGGTCTAATTAGGCCTTCAGTTTGAAAATTAAGCCCGCTAGAAACATATTTTTCTAAGCTCGAGGCTTGAATCATGACGATCAGCACTAATTAATTACATCTCGCTTAATAAGAAAAAGCTAGCTACAAAATTAATCTGTTAATTAACACGTTAGTAGTCTCAAGGTCTAATTAGGGTTCCACTTTCAAAATTAAGCCCACTAGAAACAAATTTTTCAAAGCTCGACCGTTGAATCATAACGATAAGCACTAATTAATTACATCTCGCTTAATAAGAAAAAGCTAGCTACACAATTAATCAGTTAAGTAACACGTTAGTAGTCTCAAGGTCTAATTAGGCTTCCACTTTGAAAATTAAGTCTGCTAGAAACATATTTTTCTAAGCTCGAAGCTTGAATCATGACGATCAGCACTAATTAATTACATCTCGCGTAATAAGAAAAAGCTAGCTACACAATTAATCAGTTAAGTAACACGTTAGTAGTCTCAAGGTCTAATTAGGCTTTCAGTTTGAAAATTAATCCCGCTAGGAACATATTTTTCTAAGCTCGAGGCTTGAATCATGACGATCAGCACTAATTAATTACATCTCGATTAATAAGCAAAAGCTAGCTACACAATTAATCTGTTAATTAACACGTTAGTGGTCTCAAGGTCTAATTAGGCTTCCACTTTGAAAATTAAGCCTCCTAGAAACATATTTTTTAAGCTCGAAGCTTGAATCATGACGATCAGCACTAATTAATTACATCTCGCTTAATAAGCAAAAACTAGCTACACAATTAATCAGTTAAGTAATACGTTAGTAGGTTCAAGTTCAAATTAAGCTTTCACTTTGAAAATTAAACCCGATAGGAACAAATTTTTCAAATCTCGATCTTTGAATCATGACGATCAGCATCTAGATTAATAAGAAAAACATTAGCTCCACAATTAATCAAAGTTAAGTAGTCTCAAGGCCTAATTAACCTATCAGTTAGAAAACTAATTCCGCTGGAAACAAATTTTTCCGCTATATATAGGGGGCATTTTTTTTTACTTTTTCCTGCATTTGATTTTCCGTAGCTACCGCTATAATTAATTTATGTTTTGTCACTGGCGTTCCCGCTACTTGTATATAGTTGAAGGGCCAGCTTGAAAAGACGCATATCCTTTTCCTGACGTCGGTGGCACTTCTGATATGGGTCTCTGAACGGCTACCACAACGCAATTCTTAATTCGATATTTGTAAATGACAATAATTATAAACAATTTGGATATATCGGACTATTAATCGGGTAGTTTTATCTATAGGCGACCTTGCGACCGTGTTATCTTTTTTTTTAACGTTGACCGGTTCTTGCAACATTATGAACCATTCGTTAGCACAATGATATTTAGCTTAGCAGGCTTTTGATCGCATTTGAAACAAGCAAAGCGACCTGAAACAATGTTATTAAATGCGAGGATTTTACTTCTTGTGGGCATCGCAAGCTGTGCTCATTTCATACCGTACGAGTCCAACGCGATACCCTCAGGTAACGCCCTCCGATTTTAGGCGGCGAGTTTGAAACTGTTACTTTTAGGTTACTACTGGAGAGAGTACGACGGAACAATACCAACCGATGCGGTCCCCGGCGGAAGTGACAAGGACGGGAATCTCACTTACGTTGGCCAGATCTACATGAAAGACTATGGACTGTTGCCGGCCACCATAACTCGAGGATCTACTGTTGCAGTCTCATCCTCGCAGGGCATAACGGTACAGACAGAGAAAGATGTCAAGGTGAGTGCCCGCCGTCTGTATTCCGGCCGCAACTTCGCTCGTCTTGCAGATACTGTGCAGCATGGAACAGTACATGTTTAAGTGGATAGTGACCAAGACTGGAGAGGAGCACTTGTTTACGGTCGACTGTCCATTGGTAAAAGGCGGTTCGGAAACAAATCAAACCATACACATCGGACGGGTAATGTACGAAGGAGCGACTATAATCGGAAGAGTTTTCAGTTACTGGGAGATTCACAAAGGATTGTGGATACCGTACAATGGACAACAGAAGAACTTTAATTCTTACGAAATATTAACCTTCAATTGTCAGAGATATTTTATTGCTAATAAATAGTGCATTTTTTGCGTCGTGTGGGTTTGCCGTAAATAAAACCGACTACTTACGATAGTTATGCACGCTTAAAATTATACACCGCAACACTTTGTTTATATCAAGATCTCCCTTTAATAGTAGCTTCAGGAGCACCGAAACGTTGGAGGTTACCGTATCCGAGACCTTCTGGACTGGAGAACGTCCGGCTAATTAACAATGTATTCCATATAAGAGACTTCGAATTGTATTTTTCAAGAATGGGAAAGGAGGGAGTTGCTTTGAAAGTGTCCACCTTACAAAATGACAATGCTAGAACGCGAATTTGAACCTGGAACCCTGTTCACTGTCTTCTTTGGCTGTAAAACGCCTACAAAATAAGAAAGAGATTTAAAATGTATTTATAAACATAAACACCATATACTGAGGGCAATCATTTTTGGCCTCACGGTAATAACAAAAATATATAAAGCTAATACAAATAAATGTAATTCCACACCTTAGACTAATTAAGACTAGATGATTTACATATAATGCCATATGTACACAAAGAAAACAAATAATACCACTCATTAACACGTTTTTTTTTTGTAATATACATACAAGGAACACTAATCTATCAACATTAAACTAAATAAACCATTTTTTTTGGCATCACGGTTAGAAGCGCTACGAAGCGTTACGTACGCACCAGTCCACATGTAATCCGGAGCATAAATATAATAAAATCGGTGATCTTCAAATAGAAATTTATCAAATGTAGAAAAGAGTACTCTTATTTTATGGTACGTCGATAAACTTTCCCTTAAGTTAGCGAGATTACAGCACCTGATACACACAATTATTAGAAACGTCTAGTATTAAAATCACATGCGTTATTGATATATCTAAGTCTAAGTTTCCTTTTCTTCCTTGGATAATTTAGTGTTGCAACGAATATTGAGAACGTAAAGTGTCACCCTCAATCTATGAGTTTATAGTGCGCCGCGCGTGCGCAAGTAGGTTTCTTACTCTATTAATGGTTCGCAAATTGCTTTTATAAAGATATGTATACAATATAGAATTTTGTGCTATTGCCGTTAAAACTGCATTTATTGTTCGATTTGAAGGCAAAGTTAAGCCACAAAAATATAACAGTCGTTGCATCACTATATAAACAAATCAGTGAGATCGTGCGCGATCCGGATCACACCGAACGAAAATAGTCCGTTTTCCACTGAACAAGTGTCTCCGCTTTTGCGACGTTGCCATTTCGTAAAAAAAGCAGACACAGCAAATTTGGTAACCCTGACGGTTTACTATGGATATAAGTGAAACGGTGTATGGCAACCAGTAGCAGCCGACGACGTGTTGTTCGCTTACAAAAATATATAATCCGGAAGTTACCCCACCAAAAACCTACCGACAGGAAGACCATCTTAATCACTACCAGTGTCGAATGTGAGAGAAATGCAAACCTCCCCGCGATAGCACCACCAGCATGTTATCTTATCGTATATATTGCACCGTAGCACTGGCGTGACAATCGATCGGTCGATTATACAGGTTTAAAGCCGGAAAGGATACCCCCAGGATAACACGATGAAAAGTGCCCTTAAACCTTTAACAAAAATAAGTTTCATCATTACTCAATGTCGGTGACCATTTTTTTGGCAATTCAAGCACATTCTAAAAAAATTGTTTAGTTTTCTACATTTCAAAGATGGGAAGTCTGTCAAAATTGGACCTGTATCGCTTGAAAAAAATAATTTTTGTGTTCAATTTTAAAAATCCAAAATTTTTATTTCTTATTATTATATCCTGTAAAAAAATCACCGACAGTCGTATTTGTTCTAGGAAAAAGAGATTTACACTACTTACCTTACTTGGTTAGAGGTATATTTTCACCAACTTATCCCGGAGGTACCAACTGTCAACTTCCACTCTGCATAACAAATTGAGCTGTACAAAACAGAACAGTTCAGCTTGCAATATTGGAGAAGTGGAATGAGCAAATGTCGTGTTACTCTTAGTTTCTAGTGTTAATTAAGTAGAGACAATCTCATTTTAGTGAAAAAACAGAAAATAAAAAAGGTGTACACATCTACTCGATCGCCTTCGACATGAAGTCAATAAACCGCTTCCCGTACTGCTCTGGATCGCATGTGCTGATACCGTCGACGTTCGACCCGTACTTGACAGTCTTGGCCGCTTTCGCCGCCTGCTTCTTGACGCCGTAATGCGTGAGGACGTCTATAATGGCAACGAAGTAGATCTCCTTCACCGGCGCCGTATCACAGCTCGGAATCGCGTAAATATCCAACTCTGGAATAATATTACCTAAAATCAAAGTTAACCGAATAGATCTCCCGCCCGATACGCACCTTCGTACTGAAGACTGTGCTCCCTGATGAACTGGGCGACGGCGTTCGGCGAGTCCGGCGGCGTGCCGATGCCTAGATTGCGGCCCTCCAGTCCGGAGCCGGTCTCGCTCTCGTCCGAGTCGAGGCCCGTGTTGTCGGACTCGTTCTCGCGTTCGCGCTGCAGCTCCTGCTCGCCCCTCTCCACCTCGTGGATACCTGTCGGAAGGGGGAGAAGTAGAGAAAATTGCGCGCGGCACGATTAGATATCGGGTGTACCTAGCAGTAGGCTGTAGTCCATGAGGTGCAGTTTCGTCAGAAATTCGACGTCGGCATTCAGCGTGTTCAGTAATTTCAGTTTCGCCTCGTCGCCAATGTAAACCTAAATGGAAATTTGTATTTTATTTAACACTGAAAATTGGCGATGTTGGTGCAACTACTTTTAGAACTCATCTGCGTCGATTTCTGTTGTACTTTGAGTATTCTGAACTACATTAATAGAGGTGCCCCTTTAAACCCTTAACCCCCCCCCCCCCCAGTAAACGACAGTCTGATGACCGTTTCCCTACATCCATGATATCATACGCACGTAAATCTCGTAATATACTGGGGGAATATCCACTCCCCACCCCCAGGCCCAAAGATGTTATGTTCTCACCCAAAAAACGAAGTCTATGATCCTCTTCTAAAGAATCAAGACAGTCTTCGGAAAAAAACAAAACACCAGGGGGCTTGGAATATCCTCTATGATACCCCCCAGGAAAAAAACATGGATTCCGTAAACTGGGAGAGGGGGGGAGGTATTCCCCATAACCCCCGTGGACTATGTATTATGCCCCACTAACAAGGGTCTGGAATAACCCCCCCCCCTCGGTAAACGAAAATCAGATTCCCTGCATCCATTAAATCATACGCACGAAAATGTCGTAATATACTGGGGGAATATCCACTCCCACCCCCAGGCCCAAAGGTGTTATGTTCTCACCCAAAAAAAGAAGTCTATGATCCTCTTCTAAAGAATCAGGACAGTCTTCGGAAAAAAACAAAACACCAGGGGGTTTGGAATATCTTCCAGGATACCCCCCAGGAAAAAGACATGGATTCCTTAAACTGGGAGAGGGGGGGGGTATTCCCTATAACCCCCGGTGGACTATGTATTATGCCCCACTAACAAGGGTCTGGAATAACCCCCCCCCCTCAGTAAACGAAAATCAGATTCCCTGCATCCATTAAATCATACGCACGAAAATGTCGTAATATACTGGGGGAATATCCACTCCCACCCCCAGGCCCAAAGGTGTTATGTTCTCACCCAAAAAACGAAGTCTATGATCCTCTTCTAAAGAATCAGGACAGTCTTCGGAAAAAAACAAAACACCAGGGGGTTTGGAATATCCTCCAGGATACCCCCCAGGAAAAAGACATGGATTCCTTAAAGTGGGAGAGGGGGGGGGGGATTTCCCCTAAACCCCCGGTGGATTATGCATTATGCCCCACTAACAAGAGTCTGGAATAAACCCCCCCCCCCCCCCGCAGTAAACGAAAATCAGATTCCCTGCATCCATTAAATTATACGCACGAAAATATAGTGAGGGGTATTGCCCCAAACCTCCTGGTGTTATGTTCTCACCCAAAAACCGCACCCAAAGGCTTCAGGGCTAAGCGTATTTCGGAAAAAAAGCAACACCAAGGGGTTTGGGGGGTATGGAATATCCTCACGAAAATGAAATGGATTCGTTATGTACTGGAGAGTGTATAACGGAGGGAGGGGGCGTGGGGTGTATTCTCCACTTACCCCCCCCCCCCACCCGTCCTAACGAAAATCAGATGACCGTTTCCCAACATCCATACGCACATAAATTTCGTAGTACACTGGAAGATTACCCTCCCGCCCCAGACCCAACGGTGTTACGTTTTCACCCAAAACAACGAAGGGGGGTATTCGTGCGTATGATTCCATGGATGTATGGAAACACCCAAAAACAGAAGCCAAAAGAGGAATATTCGATGGTCCTTTTCTAAAATATCAAGACAGGCTTCAGGGGTTAGCGTATTTCGAAAAAAAAAATAACAGCTGCGGGTCTGTATATTACGAATTCCCCTTTGGGAATTTTTGAATCAAAAAGTCAAAAAATATACTATTCTAACTGATTTCTAAGAAATGAAAAACATGGGACGTTTGCGACGACTTCTGTTGTCATTTGAGTATTTTAAAAGTAGATTAGGAGTCCGTTTTGAAAATCTTTAAAATCAAAAATTCAAAAAACAGACTTCTACATTCTAAGAAATAAAAAAAATCGGCCGTTTGTGCTGATTTCTGTTGTACTTCCAAGTAATACAAAAGTGGATTAATAGGGAGTCCTCTTGAGCCAGTTTTTTTAAACATTTATAATCAAAAAACACAGACTTCAACTAATGTGAAAGAAAAAAAAAGATCGGGCGTTTGCGTCGATTTCTGTTGTACTTTCGAATATTTTAAAAATAGAAGACCCCTTGTCCTCTTGAAACCAAAAATTTAAAAAACAGACTCCGACTAATATAAAAGAAATAAAAAAATCGGGCGTGTGTGCCCATTTTTGTTGTACTTTCGAATATTTAGTAATAGTAAATTATATAGGGGGTCTTCTTGAGACATTTTTTAAATTTCTTAATCAAAAATTTAAAAAATAGACTTCAATTAATGTTTAAGAATAAAAAAAATCGGGCGTTTGCGTCGATTTCTGTTGTTCTTTCGAGTATTTTAAAAGTAGATTGTATAAGAGGTCCTCTTGAGACATTTTTAAAATTTTTTAATCAAAAATTCAAAAAACAGACTTCCACTGTTGTGTAATAAACCAAAAAAATCGGGCGTTTCGTCAATTCCTGTTGTATATTCGAGTATTTTAAAACTAGATTAATAGGGGGGCCTCTTGAAACATTTTTAATCAGAAAATTCAAAAAATAGACTTCAACTAATGTCTAAGAATCAAAAAAAATCGGGCGCTTGCTTCGATTTCTGTTGTTTTTTCGAGTATTTTAAAAGTAGATTATATAAGGAGTCGTCTTGAGACATTTTTAAAAATTTTTTAGTCAAAAATTCAAAAAACAGACTTCCACTGTTGTGTAAGAAATAAAAAAAATCGGGTGTTTCGTCAATTTCTGTTGTACTTTCCGAGTATTTTAAAAGTAGATTAATAAGGGGTCCTCTGGAAACATTTTTTAATCAAACATTCAAAAAATAAGTTTTATCTACAATCTAAGACAACAAAAATCGGGCGTGTGCGCCCATTTCTGTTGTACTTTCGAGTACTTATTTTAAAAGTAGATTACGAGGTAGATTATAATATGGAGTTCTCGTAAGCCAGTTTTTTTTAAATTTTTTGATCAAAAAATTCCAAAAACGGACTTCTGACTAAGAAATCCAAAAAATCGAGCGTTTGCATCAATTTCTGTTGTACTTTCCCAGTATTTTAAAAGTAGGTTAATAGGTGGCCCACTTGAGCCATTTTTTTATTAAATTTTTGTATTAACAATTCAAAAAACAGACCTACTAGTGTCTAAGAACACAAAAAAATCGGGCGTTTGGGCTGATTTCTGTTGTACTTTCGAGTATTACAAAAGTGAATTAATCGGAGGTCCTCTTCAGACATTTTTAAATCAAAAATTCAAAAAATAAGACTTCAACTACTGTCTAAAAAATCCCAAAAATCGGGTGTTTGTCGATATGTGTTGTACTTTCGAATATTTTAAAAGTAGATAAATAGAGGATCCCTCTTGAGCAAGTTTTTTATATTTTTTAATCAAAAATTCAAAAAAAGGCTTCAACTGCTTTCTAAAAAATAAAAAAATCGGGCGTTTGTATCGAGTTTTGTTGTATTTTCGAGTATTTTAACAATAGATTAATAGGGGGTCCTCTTGAGACGTTTTTTTAAATTTTTGAAACAAAAATTCAAAAAACAGATTTCATCAGCAGTTTAAGAAATCAAAAAAATTGGGCGTTTGCGCCGATTTCTGTTGCACTTTCGAGTATTTTAAAAGTGGATTAATAGGGGGTCCTCTCAGGGTCATTTTTTTGAAATTGTTTAATCAAAAATTCAAAAAATTACTATTCTAACTATTTTCTGAAGCATAAATCTTACAGGAGATTTCTAAAATACTTCTAAGAACATCTTTAGCTGGTTTCTCTATCTTACGTTTGTGTAATCCCCCCAAATTGTACCCCCGCATGTCAGGTAAGCCGCTTAATATTAAGATAAGATAACGTGCTCACTTTCATTTGCTGATTAACAAAGTCGTTATCCTTTAAAGTGGGCAGATCCTTTTCCAGCTCCTTGTCGGAGGCCTCCCTGTCGACCGTCGATCCCTTGAGATCAAATTTCCGATGCGTACTCAAATGATTGGAGAACACATTTCTGGTGACGACAATGTAATGTTCGACATTATCGACCGTTAGCCTATACATGCCCAAATACTGCGGTAGTAAAGTTTTTCCGTGTCGCTCCACGATGTACTAAAAACGACACTCGGTTAAACTAACCTCAAACAGCGCGAGCCGCTCACCGGATGGTAATGCTTAAGAAACGAATGCATACGCTCGACCTCCTCCGACGTGAGCGTCTTAATTACAAATAACCTATCGTAACTGTGGTAAAATTTCGCGCCGCTCTTCCCCGAGGAGTCGTCGGGTAGCGGCTGCGAGCGGGTCAGGCTCTCCTTATAGTCTAGATCGTCTATCCCGAAACGTTCCCGGATATTCCTAAAGACCATCGGGCAGTACTCCTTCACCTTAAAGTGCGACGGCATATTTTCCCTAAAAAAACACGAATTAACGACACGAAACGACAAGGGGGTGGCAGCGTTAACTTATTGAACAGGTGGTTGTCGACTTTGAGCTTCGAGTAGGCTCTGAAGTCGTCCGGGAGGAGCATCACCGGTATCGTGACGTGCATCAGCTCGTTGATCTACAACTGAAGGTTAACGCGAAAAGCCGAGGGGCGTTCGATGATTTACCGTGTGGTTGATGCCCCACATGAAGACGGAGAGTAGGGGTTCGTTCGCCCTGAACAGCTTCACCTTTTGGTGTTTAACACGAAAGTGTTTCTTCTTTAACTTCGACATTCCCTTCCGGATAGGCATCGACATTTTCTTGGGGCAGTCTTGTCTCCTGGTTAAGTTACGAACGCGGTGCCATTTTCGAATTGTAGAAGAAAGCTCTTGAGGAATTTTTCGCGGATTCACAAGAGAAAATCAACTGATATTAGTATTTTTTTTTTTAATTTCGACACACACCTTTCATTGATTAGTTATCGGCCGAACTCGGTGCCGATCGCAATTTTCCGGAAAAAGCGGCACGAAGTTCAAAATTCGTTTTTTGAACAAAAAACCGCCAATCTTAAGAGAAGTACAATATTAATCGGAAATTACACAGTTTAATTTTCAGAATGAGCTAAACTGTATTTAGTTTAATATTACAAAAATATAGTGCTCACAGTCACTTTTGTTATATCTAAAACGAGGTGAACTTTGGTAAATAACCGAAGATACCCGAAGAGAAAATACAGTGGCGTGCAGAATGGCACACAAATACGTAGCTTAGGTAGTAAATTTTACAGTAGCAGTACATTTGAAACCTACCCCGATTATATTTAAAATATAACAACCAAGTTATTCAAATTACTCTTTAAAACACGTATTCAGGATCACCTCTCATTATTTATCTGGAAAACACTTACACCCCTCCGTGAGGGGCACATTGGTATTTAAATTCGAAGACGATCAGATCCCAACTTTAAATTACTTTTTTTAAAAATCGTATACGTAATCTCCTCTTACAATTAATTCAGAAAATCACTTACCACCCCTCCATGGGGGCAAATTCGTAAATTTTTGTAAGACAAAATTACTTAAATGCGAAGATGAGCAGATCCCAACTTCAAATTACTCTTTAAAAATCGTATACAGGATCGCCTCTTATTATTCATTCAGAAAATCACCTACCACCCCTCCATTGGGGGCAAATTCGTAAATTATTGTAAGAAAAAAAAATTGTCTCAGATCGACCCGGAAAAAAATTTTCTTATAGAATGTGGCCTGTAGAATCCATAATTTCAAACAGTTCCAAGATTGGGCTACTAGTTCAAAAGTTACAGCCCTTTGACTTTTTTTTTCAAAATTGGTTTCTAGTCTATAACTTTTGATTGAGAAGTCTGATCGAAAAAGTACGAATGGTTTTGGATTCTACGCACCAAAATTAATAGGAAAAAGTGTTTTCCCGAGAAATTTTGGTGCAGTCGATTTTTGGCAAAAAAGGAAGGTTATACTATGCCTTCTTTGAGGTTCAAAAAAGTATTTAAATGTAAAGACGAACAGATCCCAACTTCAAATTACTCTTTAAAAATCGTATACACGATCGTATCTTTTTAATCATTCGAAAAATCACTTATCACCCCTCCATAGGGGGAAAATTACTCTTTAAAACAGATTTGAAAAACGTAATACACACACAACCTGATAAACCTAACAAGAAGTGTCAAATTTATTAGACATCAGGTACAAAAACTTACAATTCTAACTTTAGAAATACTTAATGCGAGTGGGATTAGACCAACACCTTTTTATCAACAAAAGGATACGCCTTAAAACTACCCACTCTTTTGCCATCGACGAAATTATAACATTTGAAGCATGACTCGCACAACAACATCGGATTTAAAGGCATTCGATCCGAATCGACGCAAACCCACTGCGAACCGTCGACGCCGCACACGCTACAAAGCCTGCTGTACGGCGTATGTATACTGACGCAAAGCGGATATTTGTCGGTGTCCAAATTGTCCCGAGTGTTCAAAACCCATCCGTCTCCGAAGGTGAAAATGTGCTCACACCTGCCTTGGTGCTGGTACACGTAGGGATAGCCAAAGCGAACGCTGAGATCACCGATTCGAGTCTACAAATCATATTACATTACCAACATCAATCTACGTATCGTACCAAATCCATGCTACCGACATCCATTTTTATGCCACGATCTGTGCCCCACCCCCGAATCACCTCCGAGTAGTCAAAACTGTTAGGGCGCCGAAGATCGTTATAAAACACATTCTCGACGAAGAAAAAACCCGACGGGTACTCGGCCTTGGAATTACCGACAGTATGTTCGCTCTCCTCCTCTTTCAGTTCGAGAGACAGTCCCTCGTCGGCGTGGCACTTGATGCAGTCGCGTAATTCGGCGAGGGTGTTGGATGGGAGCACGAGAATCTCCTGGGAGAACCTCAGGTTGCTGTAGACGTTACCCTGGCCGTTTCTTGCCTCGAGGCGACTCGGGTACGAGAAGTTGAAGGGCTGGTAGATGCGAATCGATAACGCGCATATCGTCGCCGACGGCGAGTCGACCTGGCGTTGTGCATTGCCGGCCTGCAAATAACTCGATACACTTGGGATCACAGAAAGTCGAGACCTTACCTTGACGCATTCGTAGGTGTCGAGGTGATGCTTGTGCTTGGCGTATATTTCGGTGATTTGCGACTTGAACATCTGCCTGGCTTTAACCGTCGCCAACGTCGTGGAATTATCGGTAACGTGTCCTCGCTTACGTTTACTCAGAGTACGTGGTGAGCACTCTTCGTCTTCGGCGGTCAGCAGCTTTTCACTGAAATTGCACGTTAAGTGGAAGTCGAGCTACAAAAGCGAATACTCACTGCGTTACTTCTCTTAAGCGGCGTTGCTCGTTGGGATCACTGATGTTTAGCTCCTTGCAGAGGACCTCGTGATATTCCTTGTTCCGCAATTTGTCGGTGTTCACTTTTGAAGGGTAGAGTTTGAAGTGGGCCAGAGCCTTGAATTCGTCGTTCAAATTAATCTTTTCGGACGAATTGAAGCGTTCGGGCAAATAAATCTTATCCATTATCACCGATTTTAAATTTGAAAAAGTGAGGTTAGAAAGAAATCGGTGGCTGTAACTAAAGTAACGCTAAATAAGGTAAAGGCCCGTTTACACGAGCTGCACCTTGTTTTACACCAAATCGTAACCAAATACAAAAATCTGCAGTGGCGTACGTAGACATTCGGTATTTTATTTCTTACTGCGGACAGGCCCCTTTATTGCTTTAATTAGTCAACGAAAAATTTGAATAATAGGTATATTTATGGGCAAAAAACCAATTTCGAGTAGATGACACTTCCATTGCCATTTCCAAAATACCACCATTAAAGTGCTGAGGTTTTAACATAAATTGGAAATAGTCTGTCGTTTGGAGGGGTATTCAATACCTCCCCCAGACCCCCAGTTCTGTTTTCTGCTGAACAAACAAGAGGATCTCACAATCCTTCCCCAACAACTGTTACGAGACCCGAAGCATACCCAGTTTGTACAAGAATGTGTTACCGGCAGGTGTAGGACTCCCCCAGTTAACGACACTGGGGGGTATTCCATACTGGCCTGGATATTACCTTTGATAAATGTCTCTATAATTAAAGTGTCTTAAATTACAGTATAATAACCCAAATTTGAAATAACGGCACAGAAAAGCAGGTTTTAAACAGAGAAGGTAATTCGATCATTAAGTACAAAGGGAACTCCGGCCTCACATTTATTAACAATAGCATACGATTTACCCTGATCTTCGTGTAAAGCTATGCGATGGACGCCTGCCTGGAATCGTATTTCCTTTCCGCTCTCTTGCTTCGTGTAGGCGACGACTACATTACAATTTCTAACGCTCTCCTCAATCGCACGCATCATCTTGCAATGATAACCGTGTGAGCTGATCACCCCCTTGTTGCTCCGATACTGCCAGTACTGAGCGGAGATGCTGTCTACGGCAACGAATCCGATTTTCGGATTCGTCAACAAGATGTTCTCCAAATTGTAAAATGTCACCTGAAGCTGATCGCTGTCGTAACAATTGAGAACGATTAAATTGGCGAGGCACGATTTCACGACCTGCAGATCGACATCGAACATTGCGACGAAACGAAACATGTCGAAGTGATGATCGCCGTTAATCAGAACGACCCCGCATCCCTTTCCCGAATGTTCGGCGGGTAGAAGGCAGCGTTTCATGAGGTCCATGAGGAGGGTGGTCTTGCCGACGCCGAGGCCCCCGGCTATTTCGATGAACTCGTTCGGAAACGGGCCACTTTCGATTAGTTCGGGATAAAGATTCTCCAATAACGGACGCTGATTTAATCGTGAGAATAATTGGACTCCCGATTCAATCTTTCTGGTATCCATTTCATTTTTCACACTCGCACAGGTGAAAGGTACATGTGCAATTTTTAAATTCGTAATGGCGGCGATATGGAGCAATTGTCATACAAGTAGCATTTCGCATACTCTAAAATATACAGTGATTTCCGATTTTGAGCAAATGATGTACATTATGAAAATATATTTCCAAAAAAAGTACAAAAATGGACGGAAAGAATAAATTGTACTTAAAACTACAAGCATAAAATAATACTAATCGACCGCTATTGTCGATACTGTACAGTCCCTCGTCATTGTACCGTCGGTATCTGTAAAAAAAGAAATAGAACGCGACGGACCCGGCATGCTGCTTGTTAGTTCACTGGCATCGTCGAGACCGTACTGTGCGGTGTCGTCGGACGAGAACCCGCCAGGGAATGGGTTGTCGATGCGTTGAGCGACTGCATTGTTCCAATCTAAAATCATTACCCGTTTTAGCAGCCAGTTTTCCCCCCCCCCCCCCATCATTGAAGCATTTAAGCCAAAATTTCTAGTTAGTGGAAGGTGTAGTAAATAGTGTGAAGGAAGGGAGAGGAGGAGACATAGGAATGAGCTGAAAGGCACTATGACCCACAATACGTAGAAGTAATGACCCAATCCCCCCATAAAGGGGGGAGATCTCATGGCTATGTTAAAAAGTCACAGTTCAACAGAATTGACAGCTTAAAATTTAAAAAATATTAGTGCCTCCGCCCCTTTCGATACCCTCAAAGGGGTGGGGGATTTAACAAAAAAGCTACGAGAACCTCAAGCCTCTTACCAACTTTCTGAGTGCATGCGAAATTGGAAATTACTTACAGACGCTGCGATACGACCGACACTTACCCTCAAATGCGCCAGGTCCTCCAAACGGGTCAGGTCAGTCAACTCGATGTACAGCGAGTAGACGACGACCCAACCGTAGATACTCGCAATAATGCAAATCGTCCATATGACGACCATCAAGCTGTTGTACGCGAAGATCCTGTCGTTAACGATCGAAAAAAACAAGTAGGCCAAGAAACGAAACATCGTGAAAACGCCGAAGGAGACGATCCACGGCAGCATCTTCTTCTCATACTCCTGCGAAGTAGAATTGAGCGAAAATTCGCGTGGGAAAAGCGACGTACGTTACGTAACGCGATGATAAGCATGATGCTGGTGACGAACACGATTGCGCCGCCCAAAATTGAAAATATAGCGAACATCACTAAAGCGTTACGGACTGAAACGAGTCGTCGCACAATTACACCTTCCGGATGTCGCGCTCTTACCGTGTTTGCTTCCGACGTAAACGAATTCGTACGAAATGAGGTAGAAGCCGTAGTGCGTCGAGCCGGGCGCCGCCATGGAGTAGCAGTAGATGTCGAAGGCGGCCGTTACGACCGTGAAGATCGAGAGAATCTACAAAGGCAAAGGTTTACATTCGAGCTCGGTTTTGCCGCTCACCAGTGAGAAAAAACCGGTGATTAGGGAGATCCGTTGCACGTCCAGGCAGATTACGTCTTGAATTAGGGGCTTTTTGTACCAAGGCACTTGGAGGGACTTTAAGCTGCGACTTCTGGTGCTCCGCAGGTGTGCGCTGCTTCTGTTCGTTACGTGGGAGTACACCGACGGCGTTCCCGTGCTCGGTGATTTTTTCTCAAAGTGCATCATCTGCGTTAAGAATTTGTTATTAATTTTATGATACAAGAAAGAGCGTACCTTTAATTTATTGATAAGTAAATAAACATTAGGTGCGGTTGATGATTTATCACAGTGTTGCCAACGTAAATTTAAAAATAAACTAAAAAATAGATCAATTCTCATACAAGTTATTATTCATACTTCTGCAACGGCACGCATATACAGAGGGATGATGAAAGATCGGGAAACAGGCAGAGCAAACAGAGACCACCACGTGCCTGCCCGGTCCTCTTGCCATTCATCCTTCGTTGGTGTTGGTAGATTGGCTGTTGTAGATTTATTGTGCCTGGTGGATTAGCTGCTGTTATTGGCGATATTTGTGGTTTGCTTGGTAGCGGATGCCTTCTTCTTCTTTGTCCTTCGCTGTAAGCTTGGTTGTTCCCACCAGTGGCGTACGTAGAAATGTATTCGGGGGGGGGGGGGGGGGAAATTAAACAAGTTCGTGGCACATACAGTCACCCAGTGCGTACTAAGAGGGGGGGGGGGGTAAGAAATAGAAATTGGGTTGCAGGTTGCTGGTAGTCATTCGTCTATTTATTATTGTACAGGCGAAAAAGATTAGATTAGAATGGTACCTTATTTCTTACTGCTGACAGGCCCCTTTATTGCTTTTGCTTTAATTAGTCAACGAAAACATTGAATAATAGGTATATTTATGGGCAAAAAACCAATTTTGACAAAAAATTCAAAGGGCTGTAACTCTTGATCTAGTAGTCCGATCTTGGAACTGTTTGAAATTATGGATTCTACAGGCCACATTATATAAGGAAATTTTTTTTCCGGTCGATCTGAGAATTTTTTTTTCTGGGCAAAAAAAAGGCAGTGTATAACCTTCCTTTTTTACCAAAAATCGACTGCACCAAAATTTCTCGGGAAAAAACTTTTTTTTGGTGCGTAGAATCCAAAACGATTCGTACTTTTTCGATTAGACGTCTCAATCAAAAGTTATGGGCAAAAAAATTCCTGTTTCAGTCCAAAAGTTAATTAACAAAATATTTTGTAAAAGTTTAAGCAGTAGTTAACAAAGATAGTAAATGCATATACACAATGTTGGTTACACTCAAGGTTAAAGCAAGTTTTTGGGGACAACGGATCAGGTACCAAGATTCTGAGAAAGGGTTAAAAGTACAGGATGTGACTCATCTTTGGTGCAATAAAGTCCTTTTGTTGAAAGCAAGATGGAAAACTACATGGCCTTGTAGGCAAATTTGACTAAAAACAAGATATGTGGAAATTATTGAATCGCCACTCATTTAACGCACATAGATTCTAAACTGAAGAGCTTTGATTAGCGTAATCTCGCTCCTGCAAGATGGGTAGTCCGCCCCTGGTTTCGGGGTTTCGAACCTACAGTTGGATGTCGAAGACAGCGCACGGAATTAGGTGCCCTAACACATAATTATAGACTACAGTTTCTTTTTCCACCTCCCGTGACTGCTTCATTCACGGAGAAAAGAAAATTGTTAGTAACAAACAACAAGTCAGTACATACATCAAACGAATCAGCAATTTCCACATATTAAAATAAAATGAAAACTTACATGAATGTCACTTCAGGGACAAGATCAAGTAATCAACATCAATAAACATGAATTAAGCAAACATTACACCAAAAACGTAAACAATTACAAACAATAGCATAACGGTATCACACACATGATTGCATTGCGGTTAAACCAAGTAAATTTCAAAAACAAATATTGAAACACACAAAAAATATAAAATGTGGCAAACAAAACACAAATACGATATAAAGAAATGCAAAAATTACTACCTGCATTAAATAACACAAAATAACAACAAACATTTATGGAGCGAAACGTTCACGACCGCCATTCAAGACAAGATGCCAAACGTAACTCCCGTTCGTGCTTTCTAGGTAGCGCAGGCAACTTTTTTTCCCACCTAGAAATTGCATGGTTGCCAACTCTCAAAAATGTATGTATCGTCGTAAGTTGTATATACAGAGTGGAACCTCTCAGGGTGGAGATATTACAGTATGTTGTGAGCCAGTACTGTTATTGTTTACATGGATACATTTACTGCTTTCCTCGTACGTCCACAGAATGGTAGGTAAAGCGGCTCCGAAACTTAAGAGAGTCCTTACAGTTGGATTACATTTGAAATTGAACTGGTTCTTTAAACTAGAACCCTAAAAGAAATCAAAGGTAATCATCTTCGTTTATCTCATAAAATATAGATACCTTACATAAGAGGGCTAATTATAGATGAAGCAACAATGGAAAGATTGTCGTATAACAGTTGAAACCGAAGAAAAAGTACACTTCAATCACGGAAAATGCAAATGGCGGTATTTACGCAAGTTATGTCCGGAGATCTATAGATGAGTGCGTCCTAATTACTGCGGAATCCCCAATTTAATAAGTCCAATTGCCAGAGATTAATAAAATATGGATCATGGCAATTAAAATTCCATGCGTTCTAACTCTCAATTGTTTATACTACTACAATATACTGTGAACACTAATAAACTGTTACGGGCAGAACTTGCACTTGTTAAAGATACAAGTATTCTTGAAGGTGTAAGGAATATGTAAGGAACGTCGATAAAAAGCAAAGAATTAAAAATGGAAAACCACAGAAGCTATTATTTTATAATGAATAATACTTTTCTTTACAAATATATTACAACTTTACACTGACATTATGCATGTACTGAATTTTAAAATTTGCATAATTTACACAAACTCGAATCGTAAAAACGATTACGTTCATTATAAAGTTATGTAAAAAAATGTTTAGGCTTAATCGATAATAGGCAGGCGAGAAAAATTCATAAAAAACTAATGAAATTCGTCAGATTTTGTTCTCTTTACATAATATTATCGTTTTAACTATACCTAATGGAATGTCTCAAATAAATATATTTCTTCGTTTAAAATGTAAAATTTCAGTCAATAATAACGATACATTACTAATAATAATAATAATAATAAAATATGAACGGAAAAGAGAGTTACATTTACGATTACATTTTTGAGCATTAAAATTAAGTACATTTTTTAAAATTTTCATCCTCTTCTTTTACCTATCTCGAATTGTACGATTCAGAAATGCACTTTCTAAGAATGCTTTAATGTAAACACATACTATTATTGCTATCTGAGAATCAAATCAACACATATTTAGAATTAGTGTATTACAACAGTCTTCGCGTTGAGATCTAGTACAGATCTACGGACAGTTTAATACGGCAATTTATTATCTAAACCTTTGCAAAACATAGAGGTCGAGCGTCGCGGGCGTGGGGAGCAGCGAGTCTCCGCGCCCGGGACGCTCGGCATTTCACACTGATATGTAAAAAAGTATATTTAATTTAATGTACTGTTTGATTATACTGTTTTGCGCTATTAACGTAATTTAACAAAGTTGGTGTTCTCCCTTATGTGTGTAATCGTCTGGAAAGAAGAATGAAAACGAAAACGGGCTTCGTTACTCTATATATAAATGTATATATAAGGTATGGCAGACGATGCTTTGTACAAAAACAAATTCGATGTACCCATCATCATCATCATCTCGAGTTAGTGCTATAAAATTAACAAAAAAAAAGGCGCTTATCTAAAATTAAAAGTTGTAAATCGTCTTATTGTAAAAATCACATTGTGATCGGGATCGAGGCCGCAGATCGTTAATTCTTCCGTCAGTCTGAGTTTGTCGTGAAAGGAAACTAAACGTCATCGTCCACGCAATTAAATTGGAAGATCCTACTATCACACACGTAATCACATAATCTCAAAACCCACGATCGTCTAAGTAAAAATAAATTAAAAAAGAAAGCTGCCACATTACAACCGAGGACGTATAAAAAAGCTGCCACTGTTAGAAAGGTTTCGTTAACACTTAAGTTATTCACAGTAATCACTTTGTACACACGTTATCATTTAAAAAAAAAAAAAGAAACTTAACGGCTTCCCTAATATCTAAACCAGAAATCCCTCCGAACCGTTCACGCGTATCTGCGCCCGTATGCTCTGAACGCTGTTCATGATCTTCTTCTGGTGGCCGACGAGCGTTATGCCGAGCTCGGTGAGGTCCTTGACGGTCAGATTGACGACGGCGTCCATCGTGTTGATGCCGCCCGCGTGGAAGTTCTCGAGGTAGCGCGCCATCTTAATCGAATTTAGCCACTCCTCGACGGATGTGAAATTCGTTAGGTCGGGCGCGTCGGCCGCCAGCGGGTTGTTCGACCTACAAAAGAAAAAAAAACGCGATCACGTTTAGAGGGGGGGTGGAAGACGACGGAGAAGGGGTGAAGATAGTGAAACGGTAGAGGCGTTGTACTCAACTTATGTTGTCCCCTTGATGTTGTAGTGACAGCAATGCGTAAATTGGCCAAATTAATATCAACACGGCGGAACATTGGCATTTTACTCCAGTGCATAATCACACGTACATAAATACCAGCTACGAAATACCGGGACGAGGGGGAGACGTAACCCCCCCCCCCGGGCCATTTAAAAACGATAATGGCACAAAAGTTATTATCGATGGAGCATGTGAGCTCATAACAAGCGCATTACGACTAGCAAATCACAAAGTGGGAGGGGGGGGGGGCACGTTAACGGCCCCGTTGTGAACTAAAATCGATATACATATAATCGATCGAACGTGACCACTATGAATGTGGACTTTTGATAGGACAGTGACCGAAAAAAGTCTGGGGGGGGGGGTGCATTCATATTTATTAATATTGTACTAAAGGGTCTCGACAAAAATGATTATTTACCTTTAATTCTCTCTTCAGTCATAAGGAGTTTCATTTTTTTAACTGATTATCGGAAACTTTTGAAAACCGAGGGGGAGGGGGCATTCATGTTTGAACCTGGAATGAAAAGAATGGTTTCCCGTTAAACTTTCCTCCTTCACTCAATCCCCTATAAACGCAGTTGGTGATAAGGATCCCCTCCCCATCAAGGAGGGGGAGGTAATAGTTCTGTCATCAACAGTACCCTTCCCCACCTTACCACCGTCTTTATGTGCGATAGTACCATGCGACCTGTATCCATATTTCTAAAAGAAAGTGGCATTTTCCATGTTTGTCCCCCGTTTTTTGAAAACTTGTAATGACGGGGGCTTGAATTGAAGTTACGCATAACCAGATGTATAAACACGTACATAAATACCAGCTACAAAATACCGGGACGAGGGGGAGACGTAACCCCCCCCCCCAACCTCACAATTTAAAAACGATAATGGCACAAAAGTTATTATCGATGGGGCATGTGAGCTCATAACAAGCGCATTACGACTAGCAAATCACAAAGAGGGAGGGGGGGGGCACGTTAACAGCCCCGTAGTGAACTAAAATCGATCGATCGAACGTGACCACTATGAATGGGGACGTTTGATAGGACGGTGACCGAAAAAAGGTCTGGGGGGGGGGGGTTGCGTTCATATTTATTAATATTTTACTAATTTTTGGCGGTATAATAATCAACTTTCAAGGTCATCACAGGTCAATGACCCTATTTTTGCGCTATCATATTTTAAGGTTGTCACATTTTATCCCTAAGGTCATTTTGAAATATTCCATTTTCAAGGTAATCCGAGGTTAATGTGATTTTGTAATTTCATTGTATTTTTAAGGTCCTCAAAGTTCAAGGATCTGTTATTTCATTTTCAAGGTCATCAGAGGTAAATGACACTATTTTTGTACTGTCAATTCACTTTCAAGGTCGCCATATTTTACTCTCAAGATCATTCAAGTTCAATGGCATTGTTGAATGCCATACTTTATGTTCAAGGTCATTGAAAATCGATGACTTATTTTATTTTCAAGGTCAGTCATTTTTGTGGTATCGATTGCCGACTGACTGAATTATAAATGTAAACAGGCGCGCTTTATATCTTAATGTGTCATTGAACTCGACGGTAGTTTGTTTAAAGATTAAATGTGGCCACATGTGACCTTGGATGGCCTTGAAAGTGGAATTCGCGAAAATCAACATGGGGAAAATGAGGTTATTTGACTCTGAAAGTACAGTTTGCCACTGCACAAAAAATGGGGACCGAGGAAATAAAGCATGGCAACATAAAAAGTGTCGTTAATCTCTGATGACCTTGACAATAAAATAGTACACCACAAAAAAGCACAATAAATAAATAATATAAAATAAATATTATTAAACAAAAATCGAGGTCATTGAACTTTAATGACCTTGAAACTAAAATACTTTAATGGCCTTCGGAATTAAATGTGGCAACGTTGATATGTGCCACCACAAAAAAGTCGATGACCTTAAAAATAGAATATGAAACACGCACAAAATTGGAGGTCATTGTACTTTGTAGCGTTGAACATGAAATAACAAAAATGGAGCTATTTATGACCTTGTGGGTAAAAAGTGACACCACAAAAATGGGATCGTTGACCTTTGGTAACCTTAAAACCTCTAATGACCTTGAAAGCTAATACCCTTGATCATCACCTTGACCTACTTTCCAAAATCACCACCAGATGGCGAGCGACCTTGAACCGAGCCATGCTCTGCATAGTATCTGCTTAGTTGCAATTTGAAAAATGGAAGCTTTTTGATTGCTAATTAGAGACATCGCAGTTGCCCTGGAGACTTCCCCAATTTGAAGGTGTGAGAGGATGATACCTCCACAGTAGTCCCTCTGCATGTGATCGTTTCAAAATGAGCAATGGGAAGTGGGAAGGGCTTAAGTTTCCCAACCTCCAACACAAATTGAGTACAAATGTTCTCACCTCTCGATTAGTACAGCACCCTTATTAAGACAATGCACGCGCTTCACTTTATTGTATTCTTTTGAACGAAACGCAAGCACAAAACAACAGGCACAAAAGCGAATGCATTCTCGCAAAAGCGTTAAGTACTAAAGACTTAGTGAGGTTAAGAAGAGAGAGAAAGAGTAAGCAAAACAAAAAGCGAAAAAAAATACCTTTGCAACAAAAAACCACAAAGCAATATTTACACGTTGTTAAAAGTGACCCAAGCGAACGGTTGTTGTGTCGAATGTGCCGATGTCCAGTGGCGTGCGTCTTCTGTCGGATACCACCGTTCGGAGTTATCGATATTGAAATGACCGTTGTAATTGTGAGAGCGCGAGGGCGCGTTTAAGTTATTCAAACGGTGCGGGTAAACGGTGTCAAAGTGTCGGTCGATTTCCAATTGCGATAAATCAGAAAGGTGTACGTGGCGCCCTACATTGACAGTTTGCCAAAGATAAGAGCTTAAAGACGGATGACGGCTAGAATAGTGGAAACAATGTTAACGAATGCGACTAAGCATGCGCGAGATTTTTGAAGCGGGCGCGTTAATGGTCGGGGCACTTACCGATTCTGAGCAATTTTCCTTAAGGTATCGGGGACGCGAATGAGCTTATCTAACGTTTTAACTATGGACTGGAATGTGGGTCGATGCGTTCGCTCCTTCTGCCAGCAATCTAACATTAGCTGATAGATCGCCTCCGGACAATCCATCGGGGCGGGCAGTCTGTAACCTTTCTCTATACTTTTAATGACGTCTTGGTTTGACCAATTCCAGTACGGCCGTTCGCCGTACGACATCACCTCCCAGCAGACGATACCCATGGACCATACGTCGCTGGCGGAGGTGAATTTACGGAACGCTATCGCTTCGGGCGCCGTCCACCGTACCGGTATCTTCCCCCCCTGTAAACCACCAAAAACCCATAACTAAACGAAAGAGAATCAAAGACCCATACTCACCCTTGTCGTATACGCGCCTTCTGTTGCACTTTCTATTTCCCTACTTAGACCGAAATCGGCTATTTTACATACTAATTGAGAATTAACTAATACATTTCGGGCTGCCAAGTCTCGATGTACGTAGTTCATTTCGCTTAGATACTGCATACCGGACGCAATTCCTCTTAACATACCCACTAACTGTAGCACTTGGAATTTTCCATCGTTTGCCTAAAAAAATTACATGCGTAGGTATTTTTGTGTAATTGGTAATTGTTTAATTCATTTAATTTGTTGTATTTAGTTTGTATGGGTATTTTTACGAGAGTTTAAAGGTTTATCTGGTCAAGAGTAGATGACCTATGTTCGTTCTGGCGCAGGAAGTGACGTCACAGCCAATCAGAGACGAGCACGTGACGTCACAGCTAATCAGAGACGAGCACGCCCCCCTATGCCCCTCCCCTTGGCCAATGGGATACGGTAGGCGGAGCCTTTAGGGGCCGCCTCCTGTGACGTCACAGCCAATGAGCGGTGTGGTCGGCCATTTTGTTGGGCGCCATTTTATTAGTCACTAGATCCGCCATCTTGGTTCGGTCGCCATTTTATTAGTCACTAAATCCGCCATCTTGGATCGGTCGCCATTTTATTAGTCACTAAATCCGCCATCTTGGATCAGTCGCCATTTTATTAGTTTCTAATTTCGCCATCTTGGATCGGTCGCCATTTTATTAGTCTCTAATCCCGCCATTTTGTTAGTCACTAAATCCTCCATCTTGGATCGGCCGCCATTTTATTAGTCTCTAATCCCGCCATTATGTTGGGCGCCATTTTTGACCGTCTGTCTGTCTGCCTCTCTCGCTCCATCCGCCATCTTGGATGTTATTTTGGACCCGCGTCATCGGTCAGGTGATTGCTATAGACAAAAATTTTTGTTATCTGCGTTGGGAATCGAACCCACGATACCTGAAAACCAAATGAGCCACGCAAACTTTGAGAGATTCGATAGTTAAGAGGTTGAAGTCAATGAAAAAAACAGGTGCCGTGACATGTATGGGGCCCCAACTTATAATTCTCCGAGACATGCAAGGGGGGCCCTATTACCTATGTCATGCTCCATTTTAACCTGTAAATACATTTCGTGGCCCCCCCAGGCCTATAATGAGGCGATGGTTGCTCGCTCTCGGGGTGAGTCGTAAGGATGAATGGTAGGAAACTGTAACGCATTTATTCACATTTCAACTCTGACTGGTGTGACGTCACTTCCTGCGCCAGAACGAACATAGGTCATCTACTGTTAAGTGTTGATAAACAGGGAGAAGAATTCATTTGTTTTTCGACAAACAATGTCACGTGCGAGATAAGCGATGCAGGTGTTTTATCAGTTCCGTCGGTGTAGATGGAAGTTCGAGTGTGGTCAGGTATTGGAGGTGGTTTTTGCTTAAATAGCAAAAATGAAAAGTAAAGTTTTACACTTACCCTTAAAAATGTGTCTAAAGATCCGTTTTCCATATACTCCGTTATAATCATGACAGGATTGGACTTGGTAACGACGCCCTGCAAGAATATTACGTTGGGATGCTCGAACTGTCCCATAATCGACGCCTCCGTCAGAAAATCGTTTCTCGACTTCTCGTGCGAGCCCGCCTTCAGCGTCTTGATCGCGACGTCGATCTCGTTATTGCCGTTGATTTTCAGCTTGCCCTTGCAGACGTCGCCGAACTCGCCGCCACCTAGAATCGGAACAGGTCGAGTGAATGTTGCCCCGTTTCGTGCGACACGTACCGATAATCGCCTCGATCGTGATGCAGCTGGCGTCGATTTCCCGCGCGAATTCGCGCACCGCCTGGTTAGGATCCTCGTAGGTGTGCGGGTCGATGTACGTTCGGGAGGCTCCGCTGATCGGCGCGAAAAGCGGCGTGGTCACTGTTAAAAATTGGCGGTTTAGTATTAATCGACGAAGGTGGGGGAGAGTGGGAGAAAAATTACCGTTGGTATGGGTGGTAACAATAGGAGGGTTGTCCAAATGATGAACTACAAAATAAAAAAAAAACCACATAAGCGAAACAAAACGACACAAAGCGGACGAGCATGCAAAGTACATTGTGGCAGTGAGAGAACTTACTGTACGTAACTACAAGTCCTTTTTTTCGAGCGTGAAATACAAATCCAAAGTTAGGGGGTTAAGTGCGATTTAATTTAGAAGTGAGTGGTTACCTTCTCCGTTCCGATACTCGAGGGTGTCGCAGTCGCTCGGCTGCTTCTTGTTGCATTCGTCGTTGCCGCGCGAACGAATGAAGATGACGGCGAGCACGATGACCGCGACGAGAATGACCACGACCACCACGATACCGCCGGCGATTACGCGAAGCTTGAGCCCCTCTTCGTCGCCGACGTACGCAGTGTTTAAAACTTGGCCCGTTGTCTTGAAAATGACGGGCGAATAGTCGCCCCAGCCCTGTTGCGTTTTCGCGCGAACGTGGATGCCGTACTCGGTTCTCTGCTGGAGGCCAGTCAAAACGGTCGAGAGCTCCGTTGTCCTCACCGTCGTCGCGTTACTGTGATCCGCGTCGTTTCGCATGAAATAGTGTATCTGAAAATGAATGGTACCATCAATTTTTGAAGTCCCCGCGGTCTCGTCGTCACTGTGCGACATTTTGTGATATCCACCTTGCCCGCCCCTCTACACGAAACCAAGTGCAAGTCACATTAAAAAAAATCCCACCTCTGCTATGACGGAGAGTTGGTCTGGCGCTGAATTTATCCCAAACTGCCGCATAAAAAAGCCAGCTAACTCGGAACAACCTTTTTAGCTAAAGTAACCTACTTTATGGCTAATCAAAAAAGGTCCTACAAAGCGAGGAGCTAACTTTTCCGAACAAAACGTGCACGGTTTCACGGTCACGCCAGTAGTGCCACACTTATAACAATATGATTGGCGAGGTGCATTCAGTTCGATTATGTCCTATTTGAAAATGAATTTTTAGAAATAGAGTTAGTCAAAAGTAGAGGGCGCCACAAACCTCATAGCTTTCGACGAGCCCATTCTCGATATCGTCGATCGACGGCGGATCCCACGCCAAACTGATCTCCGTACTCTTAACGCTCGTAATACGAACGTTCGGTATGCTGCTGGCGACCGACGCCTCCGTCGTGACGACAATGTCCGAATACTCGGGGCTGCCCTTCGCGCTCAGATGCGAGACGCCGTTCTCGGCGAAGATTTGAAAACGATACGTGGTCACGGCGTTCAGTCCGGTCACCGTCACCTTCGTATCGTTGAACGTCTCCTGTAAGTCGGCGTAAGAATCGGCACAATAATAGGGAACAGTGGGTAGTTACCGAGCCGGGTGTGTACTGGACGACGCCGAAGGTGCAGGCGTCGCATTTCACTCGATAGAAAATATCGGTCCTGCCGCCCAAGTCCTGCGGTGCACTCCAACTTAGTATAACCGTAGACTGGTCGACAAAATTTATGGTTAGATTTTGCGGAGCAGATGGTGGTTCTGAAAGGCACAAGAGTATAGGTGACGGTCTCACAGTGAAAGTACGTACGAGTGCACGCCATGCTCTTGGGGTCCTTCGCCGTTCGGTAATAGCCGTTGTTGCACTTGCACTCGCTGTAACCCGAACCGGGCGCCTTGGAGTGCTCGGGACAGGACTCGCACAAGCCATCGCCCGTTTCTGCTTTGAAAGTACTCGGTGGACAGACTACGGAAGAATTTTACACCCGGAACCTCTCGCTGAGCCACTTACCGTTACATATCTGTTTATCAAAGTCGGGCTGAAAACCGGCCTTACACTTGCAACCGCCTGACGGTATCGTCCATTTTCCATCGCCTTTGCATTGGTAGGTGGGCGGACTGTGTACCACCTCCGAGTTGTTCATGCAAGTGCCGTTCGCCTGCTCGAGCACCGTGATCTCTTTACCCGTAGGTGTCGCCGGGAACTTGGCAAAGTTGATGGTCACCTCGGGACAAGTGATGTAATAGACCTTAATCGCGAGAAGAGAAATGCAAGCGCCCTGGTCTCGAAACGCGAAGTAGACACCCTTCTTGGCGACGGCTATGCTTTTGATTTCGGTGTTGATGTTCACCTCGCTGTTTGCGTTGAACCGTCCCTCACCCGCCGCAATACGAGCTGAAAACAAACCGTGAACATCAAAAACACCTGAGCTAGACACCGACCGATTAACTTGTAGCTTTCCGTCTCCCAAGGGGGCGGCTCCCTTGTCGCGGCATCGAATTCGTAATAGAGTAAGCTGAACGTCTCCTTGCAGGACAGCGCGTTGCCGGGAAAGAGGCTGCAATCTCTTATCGTAAATTTGATCTCGATGTAGATACGGTTGGCGATTCCTCGTTCGACGAACGGCGTCCATAACCAGTTGTTGACGTTGTTGTAGGCGACGTCGCAGACGACGTAAGATCTCCAGTTGATGCCGCGTTGGAAGTTCGTAAACGACTCTTCCACCCACTGCGAACACATGAACATTTTGATGCTGAATTTGCTCGGGACAGGTTCATAACCAAAAATGTATCCCTCAGAATAAAACAAAACACCCTGTATACGAGGTACATTTCCAAACTTTGTTTCGGTACAGAAACATTCAGTCAAAGCAGAACAAGGTGAGGCGAGGCATTTAGTGTACTATACCTATCAATTTGATACGCCTTACCCCATACGCTCCGCTTCGGCGCAGCCCGCCTCACCTCGCTCTAGTACGTTATGAGAGTTGCCTACATTAAGGGTGGCTTTCATATCGATTTGGGCGGGCAAATTTCAAACTAAATCAATCAGTAAATGCTCAATCAATCTAATGCGAAATTAAAAGTTTTCACCTTGAGTGCAGGGCTCTTGACTTAAGAGAGTGAGGTGAGGCGGCGCAGCCGCCGGAGCCGAGCGTATGGACCGGCCAAAGCAGAACAAGGTAAGGCTAGGTATATAATATACTATAATTACCTCTCAATTTGATACGCCTTGGCCCATACGCTCGGCTTCGGCGGCTGTGCCGCCTCACCTCGCTCTAATACGTTATGAGAGTTGCCTATATTAAGGGTGGCTTTCATATCGATTTGGACGGGCAAATTTCAAACTAAATCAATCAGTAAATGCTCAATCAATCTAATGCGAAATTAAAAGTTTTCACCTTGAGTGCAGGGCTCTTGACTTAAGAGAGTGAGGTGAGGCGGCGCAGCCGCCGGAGCCGAGCGTATGGACCGGCCAAAGCAGAACAAGGTAAGGCTAGGTATATAATATACTATAATTACCTCTCAATTTGATACGCCTTGGCCCATACGCTCGGCTTCGGCGGCTGTGCCGCCTCACCTCGCTCTAATACGTTATGAGAGTTGCCTATATTAAGGGTGGCTTTCATATCGATTTGGGCGGGCGAATTTCGAAGTAAATCAATCAGTAAATGCTCAATCAATCTAATGCGAAATAAAGTTTTCACCTTGAGCGCAGGGCCCTTGACGTAAGAGAGCGAGGTGAGGCGGCGCAGCCGCCGGAGCCGAGCGTATGGACCGGCCAAAGCAGAACAAGGTAAGGCTAGGTATATAATATACTATAATTACCTCTCAATTTGATACGCCTTGGCCCATACGCTCGGTTTCGGCGGCTGCGCCGCCTCACCTCGCTCTAGAACGTTATGAGAGTTGCCTACATTAAGGGTGGCTTTCATATCGATTTGGGCGGGCAAATTTCGAACTAAATCAATCAGTAAATGCTCAATCAATCTAATGCGAAATTAAAGTTTTCACCTTGAGTGCAGGGCCCTTGACGTAAGAGCGAGGTGAGGCGGCGCAGCCGCCGGAGCCGAGCGTATGGACCGGCCAAACCAAAATAAGGTGAGGCGAGGCATTTAGTGTACTATAATTACCTCTCATTTTGATACGCCTTGTCCCATACGCTCGGTTTCGGCGGCTGCGCCGCCTCACCTCGCCCTTATACGTTATAAGAGTTTCCTACATTAAGGGTGGCTTTCATATCGATTTGGGCGGGCAAATTTCGAACTAAAACAATCAGTAAATGCTCAATCAATCTAATGCGAAATTAAAAGTTTTCACCTTGAGTGCAGGGCTCTTGACTTAAGAGAGTGAGGTGAGGCGGCGCAGCCGCCGGAGCCGAGCGTATGGACCGGCCAAAGCAGAACAAGGTAAGGCTAGGTATATAATATACTATAATTACCTCTCAATTTGATACGCCTTGGCCCATACGCTCGGCTTCGGCGGCTGTGCCGCCTCACCTCGCTCTAATACGTTATGAGAGTTGCCTATATTAAGGGTGGCTTTCATATCGATTTGGACGGGCAAATTTCAAACTAAATCAATCAGTAAATGCTCAATCAATCTAATGCGAAATTAAAAGTTTTCACCTTGAGTGCAGGGCTCTTGACTTAAGAGAGTGAGGTGAGGCGGCGCAGCCGCCGGAGCCGAGCGTATGGACCGGCCAAAGCAGAACAAGGTAAGGCTAGGTATATAATATACTATAATTACCTCTCAATTTGATACGCCTTGGCCCATACGCTCGGCTTCGGCGGCTGTGCCGCCTCACCTCGCTCTAATACGTTATGAGAGTTGCCTATATTAAGGGTGGCTTTCATATCGATTTGGGCGGGCGAATTTCGAAGTAAATCAATCAGTAAATGCTCAATCAATCTAATGCGAAATAAAGTTTTCACCTTGAGCGCAGGGCCCTTGACGTAAGAGAGCGAGGTGAGGCGGCGCAGCCGCCGGAGCCGAGCGTATGGACCGGCCAAAGCAGAACAAAGTGAGGCGAGGCATTTAGTGTACTATAATTACCTCTCATTTTGATACGCCTTGTCCCATACGCTCGGTTTCGCCGGCTGCGCCGCCTCACCTCGCTCTAATACGTTATGAGAGTTGCCTATATTAAGGGTGGCTTTCATATCGATTTGGACGGGCAAATTTCAAACTAAATCAATCAGTAAATGCTCAATCAATCTAATGCGAAATTAAAAGTTTTCACCTTGAGTGCAGGGCTCTTGACTTAAGAGAGTGAGGTGAGGCGGCGCAGCCGCCGGAGCCGAGCGTATGGACCGGCCAAAGCAGAACAAGGTAAGGCTAGGTATATAATATACTATAATTACCTCTCAATTTGATACGCCTTGGCCCATACGCTCGGCTTCGGCGGCTGTGCCGCCTCACCTCGCTCTAATACGTTATGAGAGTTGCCTATATTAAGGGTGGCTTTCATATCGATTTGGGCGGGCGAATTTCGAAGTAAATCAATCAGTAAATGCTCAATCAATCTAATGCGAAATAAAGTTTTCACCTTGAGCGCAGGGCCCTTGACGTAAGAGAGCGAGGTGAGGCGGCGCAGCCGCCGGAACCGAGCGTATGGACCGGCCAAAGCAGAACAAAGTGAGGCGAGGCATTTAGTGTACTATAATTACCTCTCATTTTGATACGCTTTGCTCCATACGCTCGGTTTCGGCGGCTGCGCCGCCTCACCTCGCTCTAATACGTTATGAGAGTTGCCTATATCAAAAAAACATTTTTCCGTATCTCTGTTAACTAACAAAATATAGGGACCATTCTGAAATTGACAATTTTTGTGATTTTCTCCCGTATCTTTTAAGCGAGCGAATATTTTCAAATTTTAATTGTTCCATTTTTGAATGTTTGACCCAAAAAAAAAGCACATGACTTTTTTGGTAGCAGTAACAACTAGGGAGATATAAAAGTGTCGAAAATGGGACACCCTGTACAATGCACATGGGACTGTATTGTGTCAAATGGTACTTGCACATATCTACTTTTGTCATGCGCACTTCATTTGTTTTTATTACAGTCATGCGCACACTCCATTTATTGGTCTGTATCGTCGGCGCCATGTTTATTCTGTTACCAGCGCATGCGCATTCGAATATTGTAATGCGCAGCGCATCCTACTAACTTTTATTAAGCCAGAACTTTGGATTTGCGCAAATTGTGCCGCCCAGCCAATTAAAGAAAATCGGGAAATTGCGGTAAATCCATAAATAAACAAAAAAGTAGACAATTTGATGTGCTTTTCTTAAAATAGTTGGGCATAACGTAACAAAAACCCTTAATTACCAACTAATGGGATATGTCCCATTATAAAATTAATCGACGCACACCCCTAACGCACGCCCTCCCCCCATCCTCGAACGCGTATGCAGCGCGAGCACGTTTCAAAACAGTTAATTTCCTACCTACAAATTTGTCTCGCGCGAAGAGAAATGCACCGCAAATATAAAGTCTGCCACCGCTAAATAAAAAGTCGCCGCCCTTATATTTCAGGGGTGAAATATTAAGCGAATTGTCACCCTAAGCACGTGTGTTCTTTATAAGGAAAGATAAAGGTAATAACGCTTACATTTTTTTTGTCATAAAGCTAATTTCCTCCCTTCGCGTATACCGAGCGCCAGTTGGCGAAAGGGGGACGCGATTTTCATTTTAATTTCTAAATAAAGCGCGCCCATCATTCAATCGTTAAATCACTGTCTGACCGGCAATAAAACGAAACTTTCTCTAGTGCCTCTCTCCGCGCCCGAAAATTTTGCCATTTCAAATCACGTATCATTTCGAGGGATGCCTACAGTAATCAAGAATGATTAGTAACCATGGAAACACAATTGCCAGACGACGTCCCCCGCGCGCGCCGCCGCCTCCACCGTCGCCGGTGGTGATTCTTTTCGCTAACGCAAAATTATTTTTAAAATTATTCACACTCGCCTCCCCGTCTTCGTCTGGCGGATAGTTTTTAAGTCCGGACGAAAAGAGAGGAGATCCGAGTGCGGTAGGCGCGCATTCAAATCAGGACCGTAATGGGGTGATATAATTAAGTTAGGCCGCCCCACGTCGAGTTTTCCAGAGTAAATGTTGAAACGTCGTTACAGCTATTTACATTATTTCGTACGGCTCTAAACTTGCGAGCGTTAAAAGGTACCGCGGCGAAGTTAGCAATCGATTTGCATGTTAAATGCGAAATTAGTAGCAACAATCATAATTATATAAAACTATGGAGAGACGCAATTTAAACAAACAACCACCCCCCAACCCCTTCAGAAGCAACATTGTGGCAACCTTCAACTGCTAAATTCAAAAATTGATAAAATTGACCGTAAAGGATTGGGGTGGATTACCCTTATGGTCATAGTAGCTTAAGGAATTGTGTTAGCTTCTTGTCTCTTAATATCAACAATCAATGTTTATTAGAAAGAAGACATAAAGCGCGATTTAATTGCGTTTGGGAGGGGGGGGATTTTGACTTTCAAAATGTCAAAATTTGATTTTTAAAGTGGGGGGGGGGCGTGTCTGTTGGAGGTTAAGATTGTGACCGAATATTTATTTAGCTCTATGGTTCCCATATGACTCTGTGCAATTGCTAACTTCGCGCGAGTGACGATACTTACACCGGGCGTGTTAGCTTGAGGTCCGTAAGGAAATCGGGTCCATTCCAATGTCGATTCTCCCGTTGTGTCGAGAAGTACAACTGAAAAATAAAGCGAGATTAGTGAACGTTTATCACGAGTAGCTTGCAGGTTTCAAAGATCGAACGTCATATACATGGTACTTGCGAAAGATCGAGATATACTCGACGCCATTGTATCGCGGAATGATTGAAAAGAATTTTTAAAAATACGTGAACTTAAAGTGAAAGAACAAGGATTCTTAAGTATTGTTACGATGACTCTTTAAAACAGTTCCAAGGTCCAGCTGTTCAAGGGTCTTCAAGCGAGTCTTCAGTATTCTTCAAGATTATTGAACAGCTAGTTGAGAACGCATGGAATTTTAATTGCAATCATCCATATTTTAGTAATGCATTAAATTGGAGATTCTGGAATAATTATTGAGCGGATTCACCTTTAACTCCGTAGAGAGGATGTAATTGCGGTTTCTCTGTCTTATCGTAAGTACCGCATTTGCATTTCATTAACTTGAAGCGTACCTTTTCTTTACGTTCTGCTGCCATCTGTTATACGACAATTTTCCATTGACAGTTGTTAGTCCTCTTATTCAATTAATTAATAATTAATTTATTTTAGAATACCAAACAGAGAGATTACCTTGGATTTCTTTTAGGATTATAAGGATTTGAATCCAAAAAGAAATCCAAGGCGCCTCGCTCATATATGTATTGGTCCATTTTTGAAAGTGGGATAACATTTTCGATTCGACCGACCGACATTTCCGACGTTGCAAAATGTATTACACCCCACTTTCCAAAATGGTGAGGTGAGGCGGCGAAGCCGGCGCATGTCTTATCACTCGTCTTATTACAATCGCTAAAATTCCTATAGAATATATTAATTTTTGGATTTTGATAAGACATACGGGGACTGCGGGAAATATTCAGCGAAATACTCGAACACCTTTCAAGTTCTACAAAAAAGTTGCTGACACTCCCACGAGTTCTAAAAATTCTGCATTATAACAAAAAACGCGCATGTTTGTACTTTTCCCGTGGGAAATATTCAGCGAAACACTCGAAGACCTTCCTAGTTCTACAAAAAAGTTGCTGACACTCCCACGAGTTCTAAAAATGTAGCGTCTATATCAAACACTGTGAATATTTGTACATTTTCTGAAGGAAATACTCAGCGAAACTCTCAAAGACCTTTCAAGTTCTACAAAAAAGTTGCTGACACTCCCACGAGTTCTAAAAATTCTGCATTATAACAAAAAATGCGAATTTTTGTACTTTTCCCGTGGGAAATATTCAGCGAAACACTCGAAGACCTTTCAAGTTCTACAAAACAGTTGCTGACACTCCCACGAGTTCTAAAAATTCTGCATTATAACAAAAAACGCGCATGTTTGTACTTTTCCCGTGGGAAATATTCAGCGAAACACTCGAAGACCTTCCTAGTTCTACAAAAAAGTTGCTGACACTCCCACGAGTTCTATAAATTCTGCATCTATAACAAAAAATGCGAATTTTTGTACTTTTCCCGTGGGAAATATTCAGCGAAACACTCGAAGACCTTCCTAGTTCTACAAAAAAGTTACTGACATTCCCACGAGTTCTAAAAATGCAGCGTCTATAACAAACACTGAATTTTTGTAGATTTCCTGAAGGAAATACTCAGCGAAACCCTCAAAGACCCTTCAAGTTCTACAAAAAAGTTGCTGACACTCCCACGAGTTCTAAAAATTCTGCATTATAACAAAAAATGCGAATTTTTGTACTTTTCCCGTGGGAAATATTCAGCGAAACACTCGAAGACCTTTCAAGTTTTACAAAACAGTTGCTGACACTCCCACGAGTTCTAAAAATTCTGCATTATAACAAAAAACGCGCATGTTTGTACTTTTCCCGTGGGAAATATTCAGCGAAACACTCGAAGACCTTCCTAGTTCTACAAAAAAGTTGTTGACACTCCCACGAGTTCTAAAAATGCAGCGTCTATAACAAACACTGTGAATTTTTGTACATTTTCTGAAGGAAATACTCAGCGAAACTCTCAAAGACCTTTCAAGTTCTACACAAAAGTTGCTGACACTCCCACGAGTTCTAAAAATTCTGCATTATAACAAAAAATGCGAATTTTTGTACTTTTCCCGTGGGAAATATTCAGCGAAACACTCGAAGACCTTTCAAGTTCTACAAAACAGTTGCTGACACTCCCACGAGTTCTAAAAATTCTGCATTATAACAAAAAACGCGCATGTTTGTACTTTTCCCGTGGGAAATATTCAGCGAAACACTCGAAGACCTTCCTAGTTCTACAAAAAAGTTGCTGACACTCCCACGAGTTCTAAAAATGCAGCGTCTATAACAAACACTGTGAATTTTTGTACATTTCCTGAAGGAAATACTCAGCGAAACTCTCAAAGACCTTTCAAGTTCTACAAAAAAGTTGCTGACACTCCCACAGGTTCTAAAAATTCTGCATCTATAACAAAAAATGCGAATTTTTGTACTTTTCCCGTGGGAAATATTCAGCGAAACACTCGAAGACCCTTCAAGTTCTACAAAAAAGTTGCTGACACTCCCACGAGTTCTAAAAATTCTGCATTATAACAAAAAATGCGAATTTTTGTACTTTTCCCGTGGGAAATATTCAGCGAAACACTCGAAGACCTTTCAAGTTCTACAAAACAGTTGCTGACACTTCCACGAGTTCTAAAAATTCTGCATTTTAGCAATTTTTGTACTTTTCCTGCGAAAAATATATGTATTGGTCCATTTTTGAAAGTGGGGTAACATTTTCGATTCGACCGACCGACATTTCCGACGTTGCAAAATGTATTACACCCCACTTTCCAAAATGGCGAGGTGAGGCGGCGAAGCCGAGCGCATGTCTTATCACTCGTCTTATTACAATCGCTAAAATTCCTATAGAATATATTAATTTTTGGATTTTGATAAGACATACGCTCGGCTCCGGCGGCTGCGCCGCCTCACCTCGCTCGCATCATACATGATGGTCCATCGTTCGGCTTCTCGTCATTATTGAAAGTGGGGTATTTGTAAGAATAGATATTTTCTCTTGAATAGAGATATTGAGTCGTTCCATCTGTTGTACATAATAATAATAGTCTTTTATTGGACTGTGCATAGAATATATTATATAAAACCAAATAGAAGAAAAAAAAAACATAACGTTGACCCCGTCCAATGGGGCGCAGTTCAGATGATTTATTTCTAAAGAAGTTTCCCGAGGATGAAGATTCTTTCAGATTTCTAGATCATAGACAGAAAGATGTTAAATGGAACTAGAAAATACCCTCAATTTGGTAGATGAACTGACCAGAAAATGAGCAGGCTTAAGCTACGCAAACGAGCTGTATGAAAATGAAAAGAAATGCGGGTAATTTCTCATCGGAAAGTGCTCATCCGTACGTGTCGCACGCCAAGGGCCCGGTTCGCTGCGTCGCCCTTACAACAAGGGCGGCTCGCGCCCGTCAAAGTCGCACAAAGGAGACGGGAGGAAGAAAAAAATTCAAACTTGTACAAATAAGAGAATTCGGAAACTCCGAGTTATGCGTTGGCAGCCCTAGTCAGCTATCGATTTTCTTAAAGCCCTAGGGACTTGTTCAACCCCGCTCTTGCCAAAACCGCCCTTCGGTCGCCCTTTGAAGTCGGCGAATACCTTTAGATTTCACCACTTTGCACGAACTTGCCGCTACCTGATGTATAAACTGTCGTCGTCGGCGTCGTCGCTCGAAAAATTTCGAGAGAAGGTGCGGGAAAGGGCGAAACTGATTTGTTTCCACAATCCGGCGAGGAGAGTAAATGATTTCTTAATTACGCGCAGGTATCGCTACCTTTTTTCCCTAAAACTAAAAACGTGTTTAGATAACAGATGTCGGCTTAAGCTCGAAGAATGCACTAACGAGCTGATAATCGCTTATAAATCCAGTTTTAACGCCCAACGACAAATTCAAAGCGACTTTTGTTGTCATTTTCCGGCTACTTTTTTTTTCGCTTCGAAAATACAGGGTGTGCATTTGAGAAAACGAAAACATATGAAGCACTGTTACTGTCCAAGACGTGTAGGCTTAGCACGGATACGAACCCAAGTTAGCAACTTTGAATTATCACAGACTTAAACCGTTGACAGCTTCTCGAGACCAGAACCCTTTCATTTTCTCGCCTATTAAGCGAACCCAACCCAGGGGTTAACGAGGAAGAGCTTTTGTGGCTCATTTGAGCACAATCCGAGACGCAAACCTCTACTCTAGCGCAATTTTTTGAGACTTTGCCCTCTTAGCGAAGTCAAGAACCGCTATCTGTCACTGCTCGGCAATTTTATCACATCGTCTTCGGCTCGCTCAGCAAAGACGTATTTTATGCGTGTCGAAGAGAAACAATTACATATTTACATATACGGGGTGATACCAAAAAGTATGACGTTCGAATGATATCAACTGGTGCTTGTTTGTAGTGTTGTTTTCATTGTCACTTACCTTGTTCCGCGCTATTTCGTTGAACTACGTTTAGGAAAATGAAGAAGGGTACTATGTGTAATGCTAATCCCATAGCGCCTGCCTTTTGCTTACGCCAGAGTTCGTCGCGCCACCTGGCGGATCACATATTTCCGCTACTTCATCCTGAAAAACAAAAGAAAAGCGAGTTCAGTAACACATCCTGTATATAGGTAACCCATATAACAAAAACAAAAGCGCGAAGTCGATACAGAGGCATCGAGACAAAAGCGCGCCGCGCAATCGACGTTAATTTGTAATAAAAAAATGCTGAAAATGCGAAAACATCTGAAAGAAATGCAATGCAGGTTACGCGTTGCATCTGCTGAATCGATTAAAGCTCAAGTTTTGAGAGTCTAGGTGACAAAAAGCGCACAAAAAAAAACTATAAAAAGAACTAGTCGTGCTAATGAGACATTTTACACCCACTCATGGGGCCTCGACCCGAACTCCCGCCATTCAATCTGACATACATCGCCTCGCTGTTTGCTGCATTACGTTTTTTAAATCTGCGAAACCACCGCCGCCGTCGGCGTCTCCGCCTTCTGCGGCTAAATTTTTTTGCGTTACTTACGAAAATTGTAATTAGCGAAATGCTTCCAATTAATTTTATATGAGAGTCGGGCGATTTTTTCAAAAAGGAAAAATTCATTTCATGTGTCGTCGCAATTCGAATACGCCTCGAGACGACACTCTCCCCCGTCATTTTTCAATTACGAAACTGACGTCAATGAAATAAAACAATTAAGACGCCATTACGTAATTGGACAAACAAAATTAATTAGATTAAAAAAAGGTTTTTATGTGAGGTTGGTGCCGAGATTGGTGCAAGAAGTGCGATTGCCAATCAGAAATAGTTCTAAAATTGTTTAGGAATTTTGCTTAAAGTTCTAATATCAAATAAGACGACTTTTTACATTTCATTTTAGTCTAAGAATTGAGAATTTTTACATTTTTCCGGAGAAAGATTCAGGTAAGACCCTTAAATAATTCGAGTTCTAAAATTTCTGAATCTACAACAAAAAATTGGAATTTCAGTACTGCGAGAAATATTCAGCGAAACACTCGAAAACCTTCCTAGTTCTACAAAACAGTTGCTGACACTCCCACGAGTTCAAAAAATTCTGCATTTGAACAAAAAATGCAATTTTTATACATTTCTTGCGAAAAATACTCAGCGAAACAGTCGAAGACCTTTCAAGTTCTACAAAACAGTTGCTGACACTCCCACGAGTTCTAAAAATTCTGCATTTGAGCAAAAAATGCAATTTTTATACATTTCTTGCGAAAAATACTCAGCGAAACAGTCGAAGACCTTTCAAGTTCTACAAAACAGTTGCTGACACTCCCACGAGTTCTAAAAATTCTGCATTTGAGCAAAAAATGCAATTTTTATACATTTCTTGCGAAAAATACTCAGCGAAACAGTCGAAGACCTTTCAAGTTCTACAAAACAGTTGCTGACACTCCCACGAGTTCTAAAAATTCTGCATTTGAGCAAAAAATGCAATTTTTATACATTTCTTGCGAAAAATACTCAGCGAAACAGTCGAAGACCTTTCAAGTTCTACAAAACAGTTGCTGACACTCCCACGAGTTCTAAAAATTCTGCATTTGAGCAAACAATGCAATTTTTATACTTTTCTTGCGAAAAATACTCAGCGAAACAGTCGAAGACCTTCCTAGTTCTACAAAAAAGTTGCTGACACTCCCACAAGTTCTAAAAATTCTGCATTATAACAAAAAATGCGAATGTTTGTACTTTTCCCGTGGGAAATACTCAGCGAAACACTCGAAGACCTTCCTAGTTCTACAAAAAAGTTGCCGACACTCCCACAAGTTCTAAAAGTGCAACATCTATAACAAACACTGAATTTTTGTACATTTCCTGAAGGAAATACTCAGCGAAACTCTCAAAGACCTTTCAAGTTCTACAAAAAAGTTGCTGACACTCCCACAAGTTCTATAAATTCTGCATTATAACAAACAATGCAAATTTTTGTACTTTTCCTGCGAAAAATATTCAGCGAAACACTCGAAGACCTTTCAAGTTCTACAAAACAGTTGCTGACACTCCCACGAGTTCTAAAAATTCTGCATTTTAGCAAAAAAATGCAAATTTTTATACTTTTCTTGCGAAAAATACTCAGCGAAACACTCGAAGACCTTCCTAGTTCTACAAAAAAGATGCCGACACTCCCACGAGTTCTAAAAATTCTGCATTTGAGCAAAAAATGCGAATTTTTGTACTTTTCCTGAGGGAAACATTCAGCAAAATACTCGAAGAACTTCCTAGTTCTACAAAAAAGTTGCTGACACTCCCACGAGCTCTAAAAATGCAATGAAAAAGTTGCTGACACTCCCACAAGTTTTAAAAATTCTGCATCTATAACAAAATATGCGAATTTTTGTACTTTTCCCGTGGGAAATATCCAGCGAAACACTCGAAGACCTTTCAAGTTCTACAAAAAAGTTGCTGACACTCCCACGAGTTCTAAAAATTCTGCATCTATAACAAAAAATGCGAAATTTTGTACTTTTCTTGTGGGAAAACACTAGAAGACCTTGTTAGTTCCACAAAACGTTGCTGAATGTTTGTACTTTCCCTGGGGGAAATTCAGGAAAACACTTAGAAGATCTTTCCACGTCTATTAGAGTTACTAATACTCTCACGAGGTCTAAAAATTCCGCATCTACAACAAAAATGCGAATTCTTGTACTTTTGTTCAGTACATCGGAAAAAAACAAGATAGAATGCACCGTTGACGATCATTTAAAAACTTCGCTGACCTGGCTTAAGTTTCCATAGTTAAAAGTATGAAAATGTCATGAAATCTACTACTACAATGCAGAAAAATTACCTGTAACTATCTCGGACGTTAACGAAAAGTTAAAAAAAGTCACTTACCAACCCAATCCGCGCGAACATGAGAAAGTAAACACTTTTTTCGTTGCAAAACCAGTAATCGATAGGAAGAAAATTCCTGGCAGTCGCTCCTAAACAAATTAACAGAAATAGATCGGAAAGTTCGTTAAGAAAGTCGCGATAACCTCATTTATATCTCGCGAACTTTGAATAATTAAACTTTTTTTAGAATTTTTAATTAACGACTCATGTGGATTTTACAACTTCGAAATTTATTTCCCGTTCATTAAAATTTTAAGACGCAAAAACGCGAATTTTTCATACTTTTACGAGTTTTCCGCACTCATTAACGAAATAGCTCGCACCCGTACTTCTTCCATACAATTTAACGTAGAATATTGTAATCCCGTAGCAAATTTTCGCCGATCCATCTGCCACCGCCGGCTTAAGGGGACAATAGCCACTATACCTCTTCGAATAATAGCAGTTAGCTTTTACCCCTATTTAGTTTAAAGGGGGGGGTTTTTATGACACCAATTTAGGCCATTTCATAAATCGCATATTTATTTTGCACGTCAACTCTTTGTCGTAAAAATTTTCTGCGAAATTCGGACTGCAGAGGCGGCGGCAACGGACGACCCTTTAAGTAAACTAACGCTAACTGTAAATTTTGAAGGGGTTTACTTAATTTTATTGCCCCGCAATTTGCGAGAGGACCATAAATACTCGCAGGAGTATGACAGGGGAATTTTGAGAAATCCTAACCTTCCTTAATAATAATAAAGCACGAATAAACATTGCAGATGTATATAAAATCGTATACGGGGACGTTTAATAATAATTTTTGCATATTTTCGCCGTAAGTTCGCGACTTTATTCATTTCGCCTGCATAAAATTTGCATCAGACAGAAAAACACATTCTCCGTCGCATAAATTAAGTCGATCGCGTTTCTTGCGATTTTTTATCGCGCACTCTGTATATCTGTAGCGGCACATGTGAGGGTTCAGGAATTCATCATTGCTTCCGCGAGGGTGACGACGACGGCAAAAAAAAATTAGGGGGATGACTCTGAAACCACCCTAATTTTAATATAAAACACCCTTTAAACAATTTTAATTAAGCGTGCTTTACTTTCGATAGGCCGAGTTCAGTCTTCTTTCCGGTGCCATCCATCAGTGGCGCCGTCGTCAACCGGAAAGCGTTCCGGAAAATCTGGACGCCCGCCAGAAGTATGTGAAATCAGTTCATCAGACCTGGCTCAGTGCTGAAGTGATGTGTAAAAATTGTTTAAGCGCACTGTATATAAAAAAAAATCACAACTACAAAAAATAACTTCTTTGGTCATCCGATATACAGGGTGTCACAGATCGAGTAGGCGCCCAGTTTAAAGATCATAAAAAAAATTGCTTACAAAATTATAAAATAGTATCCATTTCAAGAGATGTAACTTAAAAATTGCCCCCCCCCCCTTCCACTCGGCAAAAATAAGAAGGGGGTTACGCACTTGAGGAAAACACTCGATTACGAGAGGGATCGCAATAACGATAACAGTAGATAGAAGCTTTAGATTGAAGTAACCTCCTCCCCTCCCCCCACTCCATGGAAACCTGGTGTGGAAACTGCTGATAGTGTGAGAATCGACTGGATCTCGTCCCCTGAAAAACACAGTTTCTATTACAAACGTTTAGGTTTCATTACTCGGTTTCATATCTCATGAAGTTATTGGGGAAGGTTTTGAGGTCTCCCTACCGGAGAGAACATAGAACCGGGGGGGTCTGGAATACAAATCCCCCCCCCCCGCGCGGAAACGAGAGAATCGACCACTATTTCGAAAAAACTATTTTATAACCTCACCACTTTTATGGTGATATTATGTAAACGGAAATGTAACTGTCGTATACTTGGAGGGTACTCCACTCCCAAGATTCTGTATCTACAAAAAAGAAAAAGTGCGAATTTTTGTCCTTTTTCCGTTGGGAAATATTCACGAAAACATCTCGCTGTCAGAAAAGAGCGGTGATGATGGAAAACGTTCGAAAGATTTCAATTCCACACTGGGTAGGGAAGGTATGTCACAGCTAGCCGAGTATTCGATTAGTGGAAGATGCGGGACTTATCGAAAAAACTGCCCCCCCCCCCCCCCCTCCTTGCTCCTCCAACAACACTCAGAATGGGGGCACATTTAGATGGAAACGTTCGGAAGCCGACTCCCCCTACCCATCACGAGAACGATTTCCCCTCGGTTCTTCACTGTTTGGCGAATTTTTTAAATTTAAAAAAATGTGCTATTGTCCGTCTGTCTGTGCGTCCTGACCCATTTTTTGCGATTTTAGGGGAAACTTGCCCTAGGAGTCCTAAAATTGTTTTCAGTAGCTAGCCTATACCTTCAAGGTGGGCCAACGGCCTTTCCAATTTTGTTATCTTAAGCACCCCCCCCCCCCACCTCCTCTCTTGGAATTATATTGTTTCCGACTGTAAAATCTGCATAATTTTTACATGCGGTAACCAATATGGCTCAGATTTTGCATCCGCATGCGTCTAGTGGTGCCAAACAAGCTTTAACATTGGTGGTTGTGAGGAGAGGGGGGGGGGGCTAAAACCGCATTTTACCCGTATTTTCGAGGGTATTTTAATGAAAGGGCCCATTGAAAGGAACAGGTTTCTATAGAAGAAATTTCTAACAACTTTCTACGAGTCGCAGAGGAGTTTCTTTCCTCCGCGGCTCCTTTCCAAGGGGTGACAGGAGGGATTGTTAGAAATAGTTTTGCCTTTCATGGAATACCAATTAAAAGTCGCAACTGTTTTCTATCAACTAACTTCATTCTCCCGTACTCGGTACTCCATAACCAAATGCATGACGGGGGAGGGGAGGGGGGGTGAGTTTTATCCTTCATGGTGCTCTGATAAAGGTAAACATCGATAAATATAGTATGGTACTACCTCATAACCCATCTATAAAATGCTACTTCTGTTAAAAAAAATGCGCTTTATTTGCACAAGAGTCTTGGACAATTTTTGTTCTTGTTAATTATTTCTCTTTGCGAATTGGTTCTTCCAAGTGAACTTTTCGGCATCTTATCCTTCATTTCTTTCGAGTTCTTCTATTCTTCTCTCATCTAATCTCCTAAAATCTCTAAATTGCTCTCGTCTCTTTCTTTCATTTGCCCTTTCTCTCTTCCTTGTTCCATCTCGACCCCATACTAAAAAAAGTAATAGAGAGTAATAACTTGATTGCACTGTACAGGGTGTTCCAGATCGAATGGGATTATTGGTGTAATCACATCGGACGCCATATTTATAGTGAGATGGTTGCATTAGAATCGGGCGATATAGTTCAATGATGATTTCAGTTCTCTTGCATTGATAGCGAAAAGTTTGACAAGCTTCGAGTGTTTCGCAGTACTCGACACACCATCACTTTATCAGATATCCGGAACTGAGTCAATGAAGGTAAAAAAAAAGATTAATAGTACAGGCCCTAGCATTGTACCTTGCGGAACCCCAGTTCGAACTTAACTTTTGGAATCATCGACCAATTAAAAATGTTTACGTTTCGTGCGAGTCGATCAATCGCCGTACGATTATAAATAAACAAACTCGCGGAAATTGAAGGCAAATGTCACACCTTCGCTTACGTTTCGTAAACAATCGTTGATATCATAAAGTCGGCGCCCACTTGATAATCGATTGAGTACGTCCGACACTTACACGAGACGAGCGACGGTGGCGCCTCCCTGCTCCATTAGCGTGACCGAACCTAATTCCAATAATTATTGTAATAATCATCGTGGACGAAATCACCGATGCAAGTCCTAATCTTCTTTTAAATGCAGGAAAATGTTTTAATCCCCCGCTTGTTTTTTCGGCAACAAAGCGCGTATTTTTATTAGAAACCACGCGCCGTGAAATTCTCAGCCATTATCCGAACCGAAAACAAAATTGCGGAAACGTTTATTATTTTAAAAAGGTCCACCGGCGGGCCGAGGGGGGGGGGGGAATCGCAACCGTAACGGGAAAAGAATTTAATACTAATTACGTCTCCGTTCAGAAGGATATGAAATGAGTCGTGACCTACGATAATAAGGTTATGTGGCAAGTACAAGAGTCGCGCTCTATTAATTTCGACCCAAAAAGTTTTTCGAATTTTTATTAATTTATTTTATTGACAAGGAAGCCAATCAACAATTTACATTTGGTCGTTGAACCATTGTTTTCTGTTATAATTTCGTACGTGTCGGCAAAAGGACGGACGAGCACGAGCGGTCAGCTAAAGCGACGATTGTTTGAGAAGATAAATCTCATTTGACTGGATTTAAAACGTTAATTGCGTTAATTTGCAGACTACATTGTTTTCGCATCCATCACGTATCGCCTACTTCTGTCATAATTGTTTTTTTCCCGTTGGTAACACATTCTGTAAATTCAATAGATCAGCCACCCGGTATACAAAATAAAACGCCACCTAACGTGACCCAAAAAAAAAATGCCTCCAATTTCGAAAATTTGCACAATTGTCGACACGAGAAAAGTAAAAGTCTTAGAGGTCGTCAACAATTCTTAATGATTTTTTTTTCGATGGCAGTTAATAGTTTCTTTACAAACCGCAATGAGTGGACCGTGAATATAATCGCTTTTCTTGTGGAGTTAATGTGGGAAGACTGAAATAACCGGCCAGCGCAAGATTTTGCATATTTCAAGAAACGTTGCCAATGTCACTTTTTATAAGCCCTCAGCAAATGAGATATTCCCACCTCAAAAAAATGAAGCAGATTTGTACAAATTTTTTTGTGTTATTTAGGGGTTGGAATGTGTAGATTTAGTAGCCATAGCAAAAGTGGCGGACAAATTAATTTACAGGTTTTTCGTAACCGTAATTGGGGGATGCAGCGTCTTTGCGAGCGAAGTTAAAAGTCTTATTTTCACAAAGTGCCCCCCTCGGAAAAGTTTCTCTAGATCCGCCACTGCGAATGGCAAGAGTTCATATAACACCAAAATCGGGCTTGTTGCACCAAATTGAAAATTATTGTTCAAATACCTCTCATTATATACATTTAGGTTTCAGATTTCATGACAGTTGCAGAGAACATAAAATCGAGAGGTCTGAGGGACATGGAATACCCCCCATCCCCGGCAAACGACCACTATTTCCAAAAAAATTATCTTAAAACCTCAGCACTCTTATGGTGGTATTCTGGAAATGGCAATAGAACTGTCGTCGTTTACTGGGGGGTCCATACCTCCCAGAA